TTTTGAGAACAAATGAGGGATTAACTTCAACATCTCTTAATCCTGCTACTGTAGTAAGTAAACCATCTGTAACAACAATTTTCTTATTACTAGGACACAATGTATATGTACTAAACTTCTATGAAGAATGTGTTATATGGTCTGTGGCTCCTGAGTTAATGACCCAAGAACTCGTAATTGGCTTAACTACGACATTTAATCTATGAGAACCAGAAGCATTACCTAAACTAGAGACCTTACCCAAAGAACATACCACAGTAGGCTTTTCAAGGGTTTTCAATAGGTTTTTCAGCTTTTCAGTCTCTTCTCTATCGAACTCTCCTTGTTTTTGAGACATCTGTATTACTCCGGTGATTTTTCCAATTGACATTTCCTCAAATTGGATGGTAGTGATATCTTTCTTTAAACTGAAACAAGTTTTAATATATAACCAGAAATGACTCTTAGCAATGAAGGTTAAAGAAGGGAAAAATAAAATGGCTATGAAGGCCTTAACAAGGTTCGACGATGAAGATCTAAACAGGGTTCGGCAATGAAGGCCTAAAATAGAAGTCGGCAATGAAGGCCTAAAATAGAAGTTAGCAATGAAGGTTGAAAAATTTGCTTCCCAAGAAGAGCCTAAAGCTCTGATACCATGTGAAAAAACTAAGAAATTAAACTGTGTGGAAAACTAAGAGAAAAAACTGAATATATATTGAAAAACTGCTCATAAAAATTATACAAGAACCTTAGGTTTATATACTACTAACTAGGGGTTAAACTAGGAAACTAAATCTTCCTAAAAATTGATCCTATAATTGAGGGATTGTCTATCCTAATTTTTGTCCTTAATTCTAGGGATACAAATACTTATTTCTAGAGATACAAATATAAATATACATATTACAATATTACAACCAGCTGTAAATAAATGTTTCCTACAATAATATTCAAAATGCTGCTTCTTCCATATGTAATATATTACATTCGAGTTATTGCTTAATCCGAGGGTTCCTCTAGTCAGTGGGTCGATGTGATGAAGAAGAAGAGATCTATACACGAGGAGATCATTACTTTGTTTCATAAGCAGCATTCTAGCAATCCTGTGGAAAAGGTAATTTTGCTATTTGCAAAATTATTTTCATAACACTTCATCCATCAAGTATTTGCTACATCTCCCCCCTCACCCTTTGCACTCACCCACATAAACCACACTTCTGATATTGTTTTGGGATTCTTATATGGCATATAATTTTCCTGGCTAGTTTCCGCGAGATTCTAGTTGTTTTTGGAACTAGTTAAATAGTGTGAATCATTTTTGGGATCTATTTTCAACTTTTGGTTGTTTTGAGAGGTTCCAAATGCTATGGTTTTGGCAAAAGAGGTTGAGTTTAGACATATTTTGTTTAGAAACATGGTTGATTATAAATGGTTTGAGCTTTTCTTTCAATGCTTCTTTTGGCCTTTATTTTTTTTCTGTTTATCTGTTCCTTTCTATTTAAGTTCATCTTTGATGTATACAGGAAGTTCAACCTGAAGTTACTTCTTCGAAGATAAAGGGGATAAAAGGTTTTGTCCTTTCAATTTTTAATTTATTCCTTATTGGAGCTCCTTTTCTTTTCCTAACTTAATATGATATATTCATGGAGTGTTTTATTTTATTTATTATATCTATTTATTGGGGTGGAATGGTGAAGAGGGTAGCAGGAACTATGTCTTTTGGTCTGAATGGTTGAGCTTATCAGAGATCATAAGAAATATTCTAGAATCTTATCTGCCAGATTTGTTGGCCAAATGTCAGCTCCCTCTTCAAGTAGGGGAAAAGGAAATCGACATTTAACCAATGAGTAAAAGTCAGTAAAAATGGTTAAACAAAAATACATGTAACTAAGTGTCTTTGTCCAAACAATTATATGTATTCATTGATAAATGATAGATCTTCTTGGAGAATTAACTATTTCTGTTTTTCAATGATTAAAAGTTTTTATACTTTTTTGTATATGTTAGAAGCTCGCGGCTCTAGAAGAAAGGAAAAGAACTTCAAGGATAAGGAGTATTACATAAGTTCTGTGCCAACAAATCATGTATGTTAATTTCTTGTCTTCCAACACAAATTCTTTTCAATTGTGGTCCCAGATTGCCAATAATAATTAATTTCTATTTGCTTGTATCTTCTAATGTGTTTGAGTTTTCTTTCAATGTGTGAAATCTGCTAACTAATTTGTGCGGAACTGCTATCACTTTCGGCATACAGAGGCTGGTCTCTCAGTAACAAGTAGCGAAGGGTTTGGATCAAATAGGCAAAGTTCATATCCTGATATTTTCTTAGTGCATTTTGCATGTTGGTCCTTCCCCCTATCCTGGTGAGGAGTTGGTGATATAAATTCAAATTTTCTGGCAGAGATTGGAACAGATGCCAAGTATTTTTACGGTAGAGAATGCTTATTGATAAGTCATTAACTTGTTATGCCATCTAAATTCCTTGTATGTTTGTCATCTTCTTGAGTCTACTTGACCCCTTTCTGTCTCTGGCTCACTTCATATCTGGTAAGCACATGTAGATTTGCAAATGTTGCTATGGAAGAAGATTCCTCTTTAATCAGAATGTGCATGTATGCTAACACACCTTGTGAAAATGAGAATGATTTGAAAATTATGTTTAATTTTGAAATATATGCATGTAATTTGGGAGTTATTCCCCTGTTCCGCAATGTTTGCACATATGCTAATAATTTTTGTATTTGCAGGTTGGATTCTGCTGTCCTGGATCTTGTTGCTGATGATAGTGAAGGTTTGCAGAAACAAAAATCCCAATATCATTGGGATAAGGTGGTTGGAACTATTTGAATAGTGATTTTTATTGTTATCCTAAATAAATTACTTTAAAAAAAAAAATCAACTCATATGAACCTTTCATATGCAGAGGAGTAAAAAGTATGTAAAATTGAATAATGGTGATCATGTTACAGCTACTGGAAAGGTACTTTTTACTGTTAATTCTATTTGTGCTCGTCTTTCTAGATATTTCCTTCCCTTTAGTTTCATCTTTAAAGCTTTCTGGTTTAAGTTACATTGGATGCCATCTGAACCATAGCCAGTGAACTATTCTAGTGCTATATTAAGCTAGATGGCCATGCCCATTCTGTCATTCATATACGTTTCTAACATTTGGCTTCGGTCTGTGATGATTTATTCACTGCTTTTGTTCCAATTGTTCACTGTGGTGGAATGGGAGCAATTTTTTTTCTACTTTTTCATTATAAATAACTTTTCTTGGTTTTTTTTTTTTTTTTGTATTCTGTCTTACACGTAAAACATGGTCTTCCATGTCGCAAACCTGCTTCTTTAATGCTTAGACCTCAGAGTTGCAACTGATCTTATCAACTAGCTTTCAAATGAATTTATGCTTGGTGTTTCTTGTTCTTTAAAAAAAAAACCATTAAAATTTGTCAGATAACTTCATTAGGATTGTCTATAATTGCTATCTTAATGAAGGTTTTGTAGTTTATTGATGAGGATTTATATTGATTTATGCAAAGATGGACTAGCTCAGTAGCTTACGTGGTGGTTTGGGACATCTCACTTCACTTTTCTGTTGTTTGCAGGTTAAGACAGAGAGTGGTGCCAAGGTAAAAGTTGAGAAAACTGGAATATACAAGAAGTGGAAAGAATGGTCTCACAAAAAAGTATATCTCAAGGGAACAATTAATGGAGATAATGCTGAGGAGACAGCAAGCTCATCAGGCTGGACTCTGATTTCCTTTTTTCCCCTTTTTCTTTTTCTTGGATAATGCTGTTCTTCTATGCATTAGTATTATGTCTCCCAGTTTAGATCCTTGTTATATGCTACCAAAACTTGGTGGTTTCGATTCTTTTAATTTAAAAAAATCTGCTGGATTTTTTTTCTTTTGTTTCTAGCCATTTGCTTAAATCTTTCTGTCTTCTCTTTGCAAATTGCTTTAGCTTCCACTTGTTTCTAAATTGTTTCCACATTTGCCATAATGTTTGTACCACCTTCTCCACGTCTCTGTTTAACTGCTAAAGTAGACTATTTTGTCGTTACGAGCTGTTAATGCTAGATTGTCTGTGTCATCAAATCTACATGGTAGGTTGGACAATAAATATGCACAATGCTTTTACAAGCAATTTGATAACTGAACAAGTAACATCGTACTTCCTACAGGAGAGCTAGTGTTCATGGGCAATAATTATATGCCAAATTCGTCATTATCTTTATTCCTTTCCATTTCTCAGAACTGAATGTCGCCTGCAATGGTGGTTAGCCATCCCTCTTTGTGTTGTCTGCAACTATGATAACTGGTTTATATTGCTGCTAGTCTTCTGATGATAGAATGAATCCATTATTTGTTCTGAAAAATATTTCATGCAGGAGACCTTCGTTCACAAGGTAATGGTAGAAAGTTCAGAGGGAACAAGAAATCGCAGCACTCTATGCCTAATGCTCATGTGCGTTCAGAAATTAAAGATCTTGAACAAGTGCGAAAGGAAAGGCAGAAAGAGGCAAATAAAATATCATACATGAAGGGCAAGGCCAATAAGAACAAGGTTAAGATGTCCAGTAGGAGTGGAAAATGAGGAAAGCTCAAGTCGCAGAAGCTCGCAAGATTTGATTGCTAAGAGGAGAGCAGATGACATGATGATGCTCATACCCTTTTTAACGGCTGGAGTTATTTGGGTCTAATTTATATGCCACACACAAAGTGTTTTTTCGCCCTCAAGTAGAAGTTGGAAGCTGGAAAGAATTTTAGCTGGGTTGACCTTTTTGTTTTGTTTGGTTGAGGGGCGAACAGTATTGATTAAGTATTTTGGAATATTGTTGAATGCAGATAAGAATTTCTTTGAGAAATTTTTAGTTGCAAACCACTTATATTTTCACTTTGTCTTTTCTTTTATGTTTTCCTTCAATTTCTGTCAAGACGAACAGGATTTATCCATCAAAACCTTGGTTTAGGATTAATTTGCAGTTGCAACCTAACGTCCGCTGAAACAACCTTTTAACAGAATTTAGTATTATCCTTTAAATGAAAGTTGAAAAGTTTCATCACTTAACCACAACCAATCAAAACAGATACTTAAAACAGCAAAGTTTGGCTTCCAAAAGCCGAATGCCGCATATTTCACAATTCAAAAGAGCATATATAACAAGTACAAAGTGTGTTTTGCGTCCATGCTTCCAGCAAGACAATAAACATACACTTCTCAACACAACCTTATTTACAGGGAAACTCTCGTTTCTTTCTTTAAGCCCTTGGATAAGTACATTTACTTACAATATCAACATTGTCATTGGCATCCCCTTCAATGAGCTGTATGAGGAATACTGTTCAGCGTGCGGTGTGCTTGGACTGCACAAGCACAATGCACAGACGTTAAATTGAGGCAGCCACTCATGACAAGGGAATGCCTTCCAGAGCAGGTGTGAAGAGCAGGAAATGTATCGCATAATGTCTGAACAGCTGAAGGAGTCAGTGCAGTACACTGGCTTATATTGAGACTCCTAAGACCTTCCTCATCATATCTACCCTTCCTGGATTGCCACATTGAAGGCTTGTTCTTCACTCGGCTGTGAGCCAGTGAGTACATTGCCCTGTCCGTGATATTCCGACAATAGTACAAACCGAGCGACCCCAAATGGAGACACTCATTTGCCAAAGCAATCACGCTATCGTCTGCAACAAAATTTTAAAGGGTCATCACTCTTTATCTTAAAAACATGCCATATTTACCTTCCAATTTGATATTGAAAATATTAAACATGCTTAGTTATTAAATCAACAAATAACGTTTCAATACTGTTATGAGGTCATGAATACTCTTTTACAAGTAAGGTCCTTTATGTCAGATGTCCATAAAACTTAGCAAGGCATTGATTAGTTTCTAATTCGACAACATGAAGCGTTGGTAAAGCAACTTTTTCTTTTTGCAGCTATCAAGTGTCTTAGGAACGTAGGAGTGAAATGTTCTCAGAAGATTGAGCTTCACAAGGCAGAAGTGATAATAAAAATTTTCTTAATATAGGTAGCCCACTCTCCTGAAAACCATCACATATTTTCCAAATTGGACCATTAAGAAAAATTATAAGGAAGCCAACCTAAAGTTCAATAAATAGATGGTATCCATATTTAAATAAAATGCATAATTTTAAGATAGGCTGCCATTCGCACTAGATGCTGGCCATTCAATAGATCATCATTGCAGCTATCCCCTCTCAAGACATAAAAGGCTATACATGGAAGAAACATGCAATTCCAAGATATATATATATATATATATATTTATATATATTCAAAAGGGAGATAAATTAGGCTAAAGCGTTACAGCCAAAAACAATATGTTGAATTTCAAGGTTGAAGCAATAAGTTACACTAGATTCTGAAATAGCAAATAAGCACCCAATGTAAGTAATACCTGTTATGCGGACACAGCCACATAAGTCTAGGGATACAAGATCAGGACATCCATATGCTAGACTCATCACTCCTAGATCACCAACATTTTCACACCATCCCAGATTTAAAGATTGCAACATATTGCAGTTTCGCCCAATAGCCTGTGAAATATAATTGATTCAAGCAATTTATTTTTAAACTGCAAGTAAACAATAACTTGTCAGAATACTGTTCATACCTGCAATGCACGGTCATTTGCAGCTTTAACACATCCACAGAGATTTAATATCTTTAGTTTTCGACAAAAATTAGTTAAATATTCAAGAGCTTCATCACTGAATGACGCACAGCCACTGATATTAAGTTTTGTAAGGTTAGGACAACCATGGGCCAACGCATACAATGATCGATCACTAAGCTTGAAACTTTTGCTGAGGTCCAGATCCTGCAAATCATGACAAAAATTTGCGATAGTCTCAACAGCATTGTCCTCGAGCTGTTCCTTCTCTTGGCGAAGTATCAGAGTTTGCAATTTGGTGAATTTAGGAGCAAGAGATAAAACCAAGTTGTTCATGTTCTTTCTGCACCTGAAGCAAGATTTCATACAACTCAGTTATTAGCAAGATATTGAGGTACAAAGACACAAAGAAGAAGTCGTCTATTATCTTACCAAAGACAAAGCAAAAACAAGGAATTAAAGGATTAAAAAAGGAAATGGGGCACATGTCATTGCTAAAATAATTCAAATTGGAAAATAACTGGCCATGAGAAAAGGAAAAGAAGCTTTATTAAGACACATCCAGGAGAGGAAAAGCTAAAAAGTAAACTACCACAAGCACAACAACAAATCTAAATGCAGCTAAGCAGAATGTTAATTTTTTTCTGGCCTACAAGTTGGATTTCAGATATCTCAAGATCTCTCAATCTAAAACAAGCTTTATCTATCAATATTAAGATTAAATGTTTTGCCATAACCATGAATATACATTAATTGACTCTAGCAGTGATGATCAATTCAGTATCTTAAGCACTTTTAGGGAAAATGGTTTAGGCCTCTTGCAACCTATCAGCTGGAGAGACTAGTAATTCAGAAAATTCACACTTCCTCAAGTTGGAATTTATATAGAGGAACTGTATCTAGAATTGATATCATGCACAGAAAGCATGGACAGAGTCATCAAGGATATAGTACCAAGAAGAGGGTATAGACTAAAACCACAGCACATAGAAGATCTACCCCATTAAAGCTATAAAAGAACTGCAAATCCATTATCATAGAAAGCCAGACAAATAAATCTGTCGGCAGCAATGTGTCCAAAACTACTAAAAGGTTTTACCTTAGAGCTAAAGATAAAGAAAGGCAGAACAGCAAATGACTTGCTTTATGTTATATTAACTTCTTTCCCCGTTATATTCAAAACTCTAGTTCATACAAACCAAAAAAATCCTATTCATCATCTCAAGTCTTAGCAGTAAAAAGGTTTTCAGAAAACATAATAAGTGTTTGCTTGTGTCTGTTATTCATTAGATACATCAGAAAGAGGATGATTTATAACTTGCAAAATTACTAGTAGTTCTAACCATATAACTATTTGAGAGATAATAATAGTTAACCAGCACAACATGCAAAACATAAACGTGATTATTGGAGAGAAAAAAAAAGAAAAGAAAAGCATAAGTATTGGTACTTTTATAAAAGTACAAACTGCAAAAAGACCATATACCATGAGAGACAGAGTTGTGTGAGGCCCAAGCAAATTGCATCCCTCCACCCACTACAAACACCAGAAGCAACAATAGCAGTCCGATCATCGACTAGAGAAACAATTCTCAACAGCAGCTCCATAGGAATATCTTTCCACTCAGTGATCACCACACCCTCCATCTTAACTCCCTCACCACTATTTCCAGCTGCAACCATCATCAGCTTTTCAAAGCACAAATTTATGTCTTCACGTCCCACCTTTGCTCCGGCTATCATTTCCATCTCTCTTTTTCTCACCACCGCCTTTACACAAGCTTATATGTATGTGTTTCGGGATAGATGATAATCTCCTCAGTCCTATAACCCAAAATAAAAAAGAATACAGTTAGAATAGACAAAAAAAAAAAAAAATTCAATTCGGTGAAGAAAAGCCTAGTAAAACGACAAGTGCCTGAAAAAAACAATAGAACCCACGTGTCAAAACCTTAAGAAACTTGCACAAATTTAACGGACCACAAAAACAATCAAATTCCTAATTTTTTTTTGGATATTTTAAGTAAAACTAAAATTTTACCTTCCTTTCTAGTTTTAACTCTTCTGGGCATATACGAAAACAAGTTGTTCAAAAGAGAAACAAAAAGAGACCTTCATCGGGGTATAAAAAGAAACCCAGAGTGATAGCCATAAAGAGTTGCAGAAATGATCAGTGAAAAAAAATTAAAACAATCTCATTTATTTGATTGTATCATCGTGACCTCAACATTTCTAGCTAAAAATAACAACTTTATAACATAAAAAAGATAATTTTTCATGTAAAAGATTAAAATTTAACCTGCTTCAAAACCAGCAGCTCAATTTATCCAACAAAAAGAGAATGGATGAAACAAAATTAACAAGAGATAATTCCCACTAACAAAATTTAATTAAAAAAATAAGGAAATAATGGTAGATTAAGATTATGATCATACCTTTTCTGGGTTTTTTTTTTTTGTTTTGTTACAAATTCATGTGGTTTTTGTTTGTGAAGGAGAGAAATGAAGAAGCAAAGGCAATAGTTTATTAAGACATAAGAGAGAGAAGAAAAAGGACAGGGAGAAACGTACGAGGAGAGAATTCGACACCCAAGGCCACATGTCAGAAATAAATCGGTGATGTGAGTCCTACTTAATGACCCCATAGAATCATTATTATTAGTAAGGATATGAATCAAATCAAAAACCTTTTTTTTTATCATTAAAAAAAATTAAAATTAAAAGAACATTGAAGCAAAAGAAATTTGAAAATTAAAAAAAAAAAAGAAGAGAGAGTTTGAGGTTAACGTACAAAGTTCCTTCCTTGTTTAAAACCGAAGCGGCACCAAAAAGCAATCAACAAGAATAACAAGTTTTAGTACTTTCCTCTTTTTCATTTTTTTTTCTTATTAGGTTTGACATTAGTAAAATTACATCAAGGTGGAAAAGAAGGGGACATTTTGAATTTGTAATGAATATCGGCATGAAAAATATTTATATTATTATAAAATGATTGATATTAATATTAAGTTAGTTTATATAATTATTTTTAAAAAATAATAATTAGTAAATTTGTGATTAAACTTTTAATACGTAATCATTTTATTTATTTTTAAGTTGCAATTTTTTTAATAAAAAATTACTATTCATGAATTTATTAGGTAAAAAATAATCACTTTGAATATTTTCTTTTCCAATCCTTTTCTCGGATATTAACCTTTCACTTAACTCTTTCTTTTATCTTTGTCCTTTTTAACTACAAATTGAAAAGACAAATGCTGATTGCTAAACCAACTAAATTCTTAGGGGATTTAGTGACACATAGAACATTTGGGTTTTGACCCGAGTAAACATCCAAGGATCCTATAAGGGTATCTGAATTATATATTTTCAACTGATAATATTAACAACGAATTAACTCAATTAATAAATCCATTTATCTTGATGATAAATATTTTGAATTAAAATCTTATTAGATCCATCATTAACACTAATTTCAAATATTTAATTTTATTAGGTATGAATGGTACACACCTCTTAATCTTAAAAACACATTAATAAAATAAAGATTGAGAAGGAAATATATTAATGAGACCAATTTGTTAGCTAAGTGAATAATTATTTTTTATAATTTGGTTAGGGATTTTTTTAAAGTTTTGTCGAAACTTAATCTCCTCCTCTACTATTTTGAGGGTGCATTCTTCTAATCCATTCAAAATTTTACTCAAAGATATTTCTCACAAAAATAAAACTCTGATTAATAAAAAATAAAAATGTTTTTTTTTATAACACTTACACCTTAATCTTTTTTTTTTTTTTTTTGTTTATATCATATCATGTAATCTTCCACCAAAGGGAACAGCCAAAGCTTTTCTTGTTAAAGGCTATGAACCAGCACCCCACGAATTGCTCCTGAATTTGGCACTCAATTTTGTCCAGGTACATTCTCTATCATGCGTGGATATATATGGATATGATAAAATGAGAGGGAGCATGATAATATCTACTATGACTTTTTTTTTTTTTTTTTGAAGGAACTATGACATTATTGATTTCTCGTTCTAGTGTTTCAAGTAAGTATCTATAAGAAATGACAGAAATTTGGAATTTGAAAATGAATCAATCACGTCAATTTTTTAAAAAAGTGTGATTTTAAATTATACTATAAAAAATAGTTTTTTATCATGTAAATTTCAATTATTTATCTCAAAATTCGTATTTAAGGTGTCGACAATAGATCTTAAAATTTAAAGGTTGAAAGTGAGTTTCATTAATCAAAAATAAATTGGTCATTTTATTCTGATATAAGTTTATTTTCTCTTTTGTCAGTGTGAATTGATTTATGGTTGAATTTAGCTTTATTAAATGCCTTCGTACGTATGAATGGTTTAATTTTATTATTTGATATTGATTGGAAAGAAAAAAAAATTAAAAAAGGTTAAAAAGGCAGAGAAAAGATTTATTTTGAAATAAAAAAAGAGAAAAATTAAATTACCTTTTACCAAAGAACCGATCTACTATTTTGAATCTTAATTTGTTTGATATTGATATTAATTTAATTTGATTATAAATTTCTTTGATCATCATTAACTCCAAAGATAGAATGAGAATTATCAAAAGAAAAGGTTGAAGAAAGGATATGATAAATTAATTACATTTTATCAAAGAATAATCTTTTATTCAAAAAGTTGGATTGGATATGATAAATTACCTTTTACCAAAGAACCGACCATCGTTTGAAATCTTCCCTCCATTCAAAAAGTTGGATTTGAACAAAAAAAAAAAAAAAAAAGATTTGAATGTTCATCCCTCTTCCTATATCACATGAAAAAAAGAATCTTCAGTTTTTATCAAGTTTTAATTGTTGGATATATATATATATATATATATATATATATAGAAATTCACTTATATTAATGAAACAACAAAAAAAAAAAACTAAATTTATATTTCGTAACTCTAGTGTCTGCTATGTTAAAAATATTGACTCAAATCTCATAAGAAATTTATTTGAAATTTGTTTGAGATTTTTTTGAGATTTATTAGATATTACTTGATGGATAAAAAAACTTACAAAAGAAAAATTCTAAGAGAAAGAGGATTCTTAATAGGTAAGTTTGACTTACAAGAGAAGAATTCTAAAATGAAAAGAATTCTTAATAGACAAGTTTGACTTACAGGAGAAGAATTCTAAGAAGAGAGGGATTCTTAATAAGCAAGTTTGTATGGTTATAAAATAGGTGAAGTATCTACAGGGTTAAGTATGAGAAAAAGATGTAAAAGAGTTATAGGATTTTATGGGATAGACACCCCATAGGAGTATTGGGGTTCTACGTCTTATGAGTGTGTATATTTGTTTGTGAGTGGACTAGAGGAGACTGAGAGAGTTCACATAGGTATGATGTATGGGAGCATATGGATATGTATTTGGTTATGTTGAAAAGGTGCACAAGGATTTGAGTTTGTATTTATTTGAGTTGAGAATACTCCATAGGACTAGAAAAGATTGAAAGTATCTTATGAGTATTGATTATTGAGTGAGATTGATGATTTGATGTATGTTTGTAATTTTTTTCAACTAGTGGATCTTGTTTCTCATCCGTGGATGTAGGTTAGTTAGATCGAACCATGTTAAATTGTTTTCTTTTGTGTATTTGATTTATTATTTAATTTCGCTTCCGCTGGTGTGATTGGATTGAAAGTTTTTAGCCCAACAAATGGTATCAGAGCTGTAGTAATCCTTAACAAGTGATATCGAAGTTATGGTGGTTCCCAACAAATGGTATTAGAGCTGAAGGTTCAAAACGTAGGAAGAGTCAAATGTTCGAGATGTGAGAAGAGCTGATGATTCGAGACATGAAAAGAGTTGATAGTTCGAGATGTAAGAAGAGCTTGGTTTGAGACATGAAAAGAAGTAAGCTTAGAGGAGCTCGATTCAAGAGAAGAGTTCGAGTTCAAGTTTTGAAGATTGAATATCAGTTTGTATGAAGCATGAAGACATACAAAAAAAGATGATTGTGAAACTTTTATTGCAGGTGGAGCCAAGCATGTCTAGCATGAAGATAGATGATTGATGAAATTTGAGTCAAGATGGAGATTGTTGAAAATATTGACTCAAATCTCATAAGAGATTTGTTTGGGATTTGTTTGAGATTTATTAGATATTGCTTGATAGACAATAAAACTTACAAAAAAAGAAGTCTAAGAGAAAAAAGATTCTTAATAGGTAAGTTTGACTTGCAAGAGAAGAATTCTAAAAGGAAAAGGATTCTTAATAGGTAAGTTTGACTTACAGGAGAAGAATTCTAAGAGAAGAGAGATTCTTAATGGGCAAGTTTGTATGTTTATAAATAGGTGAAGTCTTTACAGGGTTAGGTATGAGAAAAAGATATGTAGAATTTTATGGGATAGACACCCTATAGGAGTATTAGGGCTCTACGTCTTATGGGTGTGTATGTTTGTTTGTGAGTGGACTAGAGGAGACTGAGAGGGTCCACATAGGTATGATGTATGGGAGCATATGGATATGTGTTTGGTTATGTTCGAAAGAGTGCACAAAGGTTTGGGTTTGTATTTGTTTGGGTTGAAAATACTTCATAGGATTAGAGGAGATTGAGAGTATCTTATGAGTATTGATTGTTGAGTGAGATTAATGATTTGATGTATGTTTGTAATTTTCTACAACTAGTGGATCTTGTTTCTCATCCGTGGATGTAGGTTAGTTGGACTGAACCACGTTAAATTGTTGTCTTTTGTGTGTTTGATTTATTGTTTGATTTCGCTTCCGCTGATATGATTGCATTGGAGGCTTTTAGCCTAACATGCTACATGAAAAATAAAAAGAAAAAAAATCTTGTTAAGTAGTAGTTTTGAATTTTTTTGCACCACTTATTTCTATAAAAAAAAAAAATAACATTTTCATATACTTTCTTAATCCTCATATAATTTTTTATTATTTGTATATACGTTTTTTGTGATCTACCTCTAAAAGTTTTGATATTTTACAAATTTAAAAGCTTATTTCTTTTAATTAATGCACAGATAGGTCTATGTTTCACTTATGCAAACCATTTTAAACTATCATTCTCATCTTTTCCCCAATTCAAACTATTCAAATCTTTTTATTTATGATTTTTTCTCTTCTAGATTTATCACACATCCATCTAAGTATCTTCATCTTAACTACATTCATTTTCTTTTCATATTGTTTCTTAACAGCTTAACACTCGTCACATATAACAACGCAGGCCTTAAAATTGTTTTATACAACTTTGCCTTTAACTTTAGTTGTGATCATACAACTCACCTGAAGCACTTTGCCACATCACCAATCTTGCTTAAATCTTATGATTTATATCTCTTTCTCAACATTGCTCTGAATAATTAATCCTAAATATTTAAAATGACTACTCATTGGTGCTACCTTACCATCAAACTTAATCACACTAGCTCTTGCTTCTTTATGACTACTAAACTAATATTTTATATATTTAGCTTTAGATCTACTCAATTTAAGGTTTAGAGACTTTAGTGTATGCCTCATTAATTTTAATTTCGCATTAAGATCATAACTAGTTTTAGC